CGGAAGAGAGAAGGATTACCGGCCGAAGGGCACTCCGATGTAACGAAGTTGAAGGGCGATTTACTCGAATGCGAGACCTCGATGCTGCGGACGAATGATGGCGTAGAAGTGAAATGATCCCGCAGTGGCGAAATCTTCCTGCGTCTTTTGTCATTCACGGGGGAAATCAAGGTGAGAACGTGGATTACACAAAACGCGGATTCGCGGCGACGGATAAGCGGAGTGTTCGAAACGCAGTGACCGATCTCTGTCGGCAGAGAACTGGCCGGAGCGGCGCGCCTCATCGCGCGGAAAGGAAGCAAAGCGCAACGGCAGTAATACCCTTTCGCAGTTACCATTAATTAATAACAATATTAACGATATGTTACCTACTGTATCTCAGCTATCTAAGTGTCTAACTAACGAGCATTAAACCTAACGCCTTAAACGCAACGTTCATTTAAACATACATACATACATATATATATATATATATATATATATATATATATATATGTATATATATATATATATATATTTATCCGGCCACCCGTGGGCTTTCACAAAGCCCACGGGAGGGGGGTGAGAAGGACTATAAATAATCTCTCGTGACACTAATAAGAATAATGATAATTACATTATTAATAATTAATCAATCGAATACTCATCATGCGATTGCAAATATATACATATAGAGAAGATGGGATATGTATTAGTTAAGATCTCTAAAACCAATTTATCCGCAAGGCTTGCGCCCTTCGTTTACAATTAATTTAATAATTATCGACACAGATGGCTCTCTCGTCTTTACAACCTCGAAGTTTCGGTGTGTCCGTGTGAGGAGTGTGTCATAACATGTAGTCTCGTGCTTATACGTACACAGTGCTATTATGTTACTCTACTCTGGAATACTGGTATCGTTTTACAGGATCTCTACGGGCTACGAATTACAATTTGATTTTGTACAACGTTTAGAACCTGTTCACCAGAAGATGTCCGCGAGAGGATGCCCGGATCGCGGTTACTTCAACCGCAGTCGCGTTCGCGCTCTGCGATCATCGATTAAGTGTCTCCGTGTACATGTGTGTGTGTGTGTGTGTGTGTGCGTGCGTGTGTATTTGTGTGTGTCTGTACGTGTGTTCGTCCTTGTTCATCGATTTAATTTAAGTTAGATCCTCTATATATATATAAGCGTGACACTTAGCGAGAGAGAGAGTAACGCGAAAACTTACTCGGGGGTCTCGGGTTTCTCGTCGTACCAAACGGAGAAAGAAACGAAAAAGAAGAACCAGGTATATATAAGCTATGTACACGTCCACTCGTCCGTGGAAAGAGACGCGCGATTAATCTTACAACGTAAAACGCGCGTGTCTAACGTCTAAACGCGCCCTTTTAACCCCTCACTGCGACGGCACCCCGAGGATTGGCGTTTCGATGCGCAGCGCGGTAGTCGGTCGCGCGTCCCGCTGCGCTTCGATGTATCGAAATTCCCGGCGGCGGATGGAGATGCGGAAGCACGCGGTACACCCGAGGACAGGTGTGCCGAACGACGCAACTGCTTCGCACGTAAGCGCCGTAAATGAATTTAATCCTGTTGGAATTAATTTCTCCCTTCCCTCTCACCCCTCCCCTCGCTGTCGTTCTCCCCCCGTCTCATCGGTCGATTCGCGCCAGGATTAAGCGCACCTCACGGTAGCTGCGTAGAAATATAAATTTATCCGGTGAGACACCAACACACCCCGAGGATTCATCGTCCTCGGGGGACGACATTCCCTCGGAAGTGTGCTGGTCGTCCACTCGCGCGCGCGCACCTGAGAACAGAATCTTTCTGCGTCGTCGTCGGACTAGACTCACACCTGTCCTCGCGCGATTCTCCGCGCAATCCTCGGAATTCCGCGCCCATTCGTCACGCAGATCGCAACCCGATGAAAGGGTGGTGCCAGTCCGAGGGTTGATATGCAACATACAAACGCCGCGTGAGGAAGCTCTCTCAGCGAGGCTCGTCATCTTCTGATGCACAATACTCGAGACGTATCCCGTTACTCACACGTGTGTCTTTAGATTTAATCCTTCCACACCCCTGCAACGTCGGGACAGACGGCTCTATCCTTAGAAATCGATTTCTGCGCCGCAGACTGCGAGAGCAGCCGCCACCTACCTACCCTCGGTTCCTCGCTCTACGGTTACGCGCGCCTCGCCGCGCTTATTCTTTTTGGTTTTTTGTTTTCACCCTCCCCTCCCCCTTCTCTGGCTCGACTACGAGAAGACGGATCATCCCTATCCCTACACGTCCTCCTCGTTAAGTAAAGAGTCCTACGGAGGACCCGTAGAGCGCGCACGAAGTTCTACTAGTTCGGTGTTTGGTTCTTCTCTAGTGAGTTTCTCTTTTTCTTCTTCTTCTTCGGTTCTAATTGTAATACTTAGCGCACACATGGAAAAGGGTTAAATGTAAAGGTCAGGACCCGACGTCGAAGGGACGCGGCCCGGTCGCCGCACATGTGCACCGAGGGGCTGCTGGCCGAGGGGGAAACGACGCGAAGCGACGACCGGGACGAGTCGAGCGAGAGAGTGTTGTTTAAGTTCGTTGTAAATATACGTTTCTACGTACACGGCTCTTACTTTACCGGAGGTTCAGCGCGCGTGGGTAAAGTGTCAGAAAATAAGCGACAGTCTGGTATATATGCGTGCTCGATCTCTCGATGCGTCTCCTTATTATAAATCTCGCTGAAACTGTTGGTAAACTCGCGCCGGGAGCGAGCTTTTCTCATCTCGGTGTCGCCCCGTCGCGCGGGACGTGTCACCTGGGAAACGACGCCGCCGCCTTTTTCCCCCGTGATGGCTCTCGAGAACGAATTCGCGTTTTCGCCACCTTCGACGGACACAAAGCGAGAAACTCCTCTTTGGCCGGAGAGCGCGGCCCGTGCGTAATCTGATAAGATAAATCCGATGAAATCCGATAAAATCTGACAAAATATTCCGATATTCGGTGTCGCGCCACGGCTGAGGCCCCCATTCGAGGGTGTGTTATTTATAAGCAATCGCATCGTAAAGGAATTGCTGATCGTGATCTCGAACTGCAAAATAGGAGGAACCGAGAAAGGTGTGCGTGAATTTTCTCCGAAAAAGTATGAAAAAAAAAAAGAAAAAACAATGATCGAGCGGAACCTCCGCGTGGAGTTCACGAGTTCGTTTCCGAGGAATTATACGCGACCGGACGCAGAGTTATGCTTCACGGATTTGCCTTGCAGAGCAAATAACGCGGCGACGCGTTTGCCACGCGACACGACGCTCTTAATTTATAACACCATACTCCGCATCACATAAATACATACACATATATACATATATATATATATATATATATATATGTGTGTGTGTGTGTGTGTGTGTGTGTGTGTGTATGTATATATATATTTATCTACAAAACTGTATGATATGGTTACACGTTAAATCGTTCAGCGTCTTAGCTACTTGCCTTATCTTAGGTCCTGTTCGTCAAATAAAAAAAAAAAAAAATTGAAAAATGTCTTTCCGATGTGAGACGTGATGTGTTTCCACGCGCAATCGAAATTCAATGTGTAATTACACGATGGCGATGATGATGATGATGATGGATGATGTGAAGACAATGACGATGATGAAGATGATGGTGATGAAGAAGATGATAATGATATGACAATGACAATAATAATAATAATACGATAAAATGAAATGTAATTATATTAATAATTACAATATCGATCGTAATAATAATAAAAATATGAGAATGTGATGTAAAAACAACTTTAAGGCTCTCCTTGGTAGGGGAGAGAGTGTGAACGGATTAAAATAANTCTACCACCAGGAGTGTAAATAACAAACGATCATCATCGTCGCAGTTGATCGCTGAGCGCGCGTTAATTAACTTAGTACCACTTTTATTTCCGCTTTCGCGCTCGCGTTCCTCCCGGACGACGTCAATACGGCCGTCCTTTACGATCGACAGCTCCAGCGAAACGGTTTTTCGTCGTCGGCGATCGGTGAGGATAAGTCCTCGCGTTTACCACCAGCCGAAGCCCCCGATTATTACACGATACACAACTTATCCTCTAGTTGTATTGTAACAAATATTGCCTCGAATATAAACTTTGTTTCCTTATTTAAATTATTTCTCATTTTATGTTAGATCTCTCTCTCTCTCTCTCTTTCTCTCCTCTTTTCTCTCTCTCACACTCTTGCTCTCTCTCTCATTCTCTCTTTCTCTCTCTCTCTCTCTCTTTCTTTCTTTCTTTCTTTCTTTCTTTCTCTCACGGGCAATGGACAAAACGGCGGGCATATTCATCTCTCTCACGCATCCGGCCCTCTGTTATCTTACGTTTACGTATGGCCGAGTCAAAGTCTATATTATTTTTTTTTTAGTTTAGTAGTCGTTTGGTTCGCATCGCAAAATTTGTTCGGAGATCTAAAACCATTCTTATAAAAACGCCTCTCGGCCCGACAAAATATTGCCGAGGGACACTAATATATCGTGTGTGGATGTGTGTACGTGTGTGCGTGCCCCGTGTCTCTGTGTTCGTATTTGTGAGTATATGCGAGGATGTGTATCAGGATGTGTGTGCGCGTGCGTGTCGGTCGTCGATTTCATTGTTCCTTATTGTTTTTGTTTCCTTTTTTCTCCTCCTTTTTTTTTAATTTTTGTTTCGATAATATAAAATTCAATTTTCGCGAATCGATCCGCGATTTCTGATCTGAAAAGTGTTGTAAGGGGGTGGTTGTGCCACGGCGCTCTCGTCGAGCGTGGTGTGCTTTTTACTCTGACTTCTGTATGTGTGTGTGTGTGTGTGTGTTTTTTTCTTTTTTTTTCTTCTTTCTTTCACGCCTGCTCGTGAGCATGCGGACACTGGCGTGTCGTCGTCGCAACCTGAACACTACAGCTTGGGAGGAGATTCCTTCGTTCGTTTATTCGACTGGAGAAACGGAGGGTGTAAGTTGGGGGAGGAGGGGGGGGAGGGGGTACAGTGGAAACGACTTAATCCTCTTAATTGATAGCAGTCTAGACGACTTTTATTGTTAACGTTTAGGGCCCGCGACGTAGCCTCGCGCGACGAAAACCGAAACGCAAATCGAAACACTCACCTTTCTGCTGCTCGGCGTGAAAACCTTTGCAGATATGCAAATCTCTCTCTCTCTCTCTCTCTCTCTCTCTCTCTCTCTATCTCTCTCTTTCATAATCAATTGTAAAATTAACCTTTATCCGGCTAGTGGATAGATTCATCGACACCATCGAGATTTACAAAAAAAGAACCATTATTCAATTAGTCAGGTGATTCCGAAGAGAGGCGGCATTCTCGTAATGGCGTCTCCTTTTTCGTCCGCTACTTTTAAGAAAAAATGTAAGGCTCTCTACCGAGACAAATTTCAGGAGGATATAATTTAACAATACCTCTTAATTAGATCTCTGTCAGAAAGATATGCTCATATCTTTTAGGAAATCATCCTTGCGACTTCTCTACTTTTTCATAGCTCTAAAATGTCTTATTCTATACGCGAGAGGAAAAAAGAAAAAAAAACGCAATGTCTTATCGCTATTAAAGTTAATGTGTGTGTGTATGTGTGTATTTTTTTAATTAACAGATTTCAAGCAACAACACGCTAAGCGATTGGAGCGAAGAAGCGGTGTGTATAAGAATCCTAGATTAGATTATTTACACAGATTCGATTAAAATGGCCCCAATTAAAAGGTTCTCTCGCATTCACTTCGAGACGACAAGACGGGTCGAGGAAACGAGGGTTCGTCAAAAAGCCGCGGAAAATAGAGCTGCAGCAGCGCGCCCTGCACGCCCATGTTGCTCCACCCGCGAATTACCGTGTTGTTGCGGGCGAATCTTTCAGTTCGTTTAAAATTATGTCAATTTTAAAATCATAAACGACTTATATCACTCCGCGGGAAATCGCTCCTCTGTGCGGGAGGAGCGATTTGCCCAGTCGTGCTCTGTTGTGTCTATACGTGTATATATGTGTTTCTGTGTACGTGTGTGTGTGTGTGTGTGTGTGTGTGTACCTTAACACAAAGTTACGCAACGTTGAGGAGCCACACGTGTTGGGTCTCGCTTGCGAAGGAAACAGCGCGACGGGCTTGTCACGGGCCGTGCGGTGTCACGAGACGAGAATATGGAGCGGCGACGTTGACCGATGTTGACACTCAAAAAGCGGATGCTGCGGATTCTCACGCAGGTCGTCGTACAGTTTGTTGTTGTTCTCGTGGCGCAAAACTGTGTGACCTCGGAACTTCCTCCGAACGCTCTCTTCCTAATTGTATCCCATATGTATGTGTGTATGTATATGTGTGTGTTATTTAAGTGGTCGCTGAGAAATCTCCGGTTCATTATTGGATCCCACAAAGTATGGTCGTCGAGGAGCGCGTGGCTCGGCTTTCAGAATAAAATGTGTCGTGCGCGCGGGTGCGCGCATGCGTTTCTCCGGTGAGAGTCGACCGTAGGCGCGAACGAACGAACGATTGAACGAACGAGAGGGAGCGTCTCGTGAGGGCGACCGTGAGGGCACCGAGACGCCCGAATCGTAACGCGAGACTTGGCGCGGAAGCGGCGCTCACTTGCTCCGCGCGGGGGCCACGAGGAAACGACACTTCGCGCGCGGATCCACACCCTCGCTCGGGGAACCCCGATTCATGCGCGCCGCTTCTTCTCCGAAAAAACCCACTCAGCCGGTCTTTCTTCTTCTCCGTCTGTATCTCTCTTTCCAAAAGGCTCGATTCTTTTCCGAAGAAGTTGGACCGTCCCGTTCCACCAAAGGGATTCCACTTCCATCGATTTATTTCCTGATGGGCAGTTTCGTCCTTTCCCAGTCGTTCGGAGAAGGTTGTCTCTCTCTCTCTCTCTCTCTCTCTTTCTCATTGTCCACTCCCTTTGATAGATCAAATTCCTAGGTAGCCTCTGATGGGCTTCTAACTTCCTCGAACGACCGCTCTTCCCAGGAAGTTTGAACCGCCGTTCTCTCTCTCTCTCTCTCTCTCTCTCTCTCTCTCTCTCTCCTCTTCCGAGAAGTAGCTGCAGCAACTGCGCGTCTCCTCTCGGATTCGTCCTCATCCTCTCCTCTCCGGAATCTCTTCATCCCCGTTGAGTCGTCGTCGAATCGACGCAGCTCGCGACGCTTACCAGCGGCTCCGTCTTCCCTCCGTTTCTCCTCGCGGATGGCTGTTATCCCCGCCGGAGACTTCACCACCCATCGTCGGCTCAGCTCGGTGGTAGCGAGAGGTGGCCCCGCAAATCCGCGCGCGTGGTTCCTCGCGAAGCACACCGCCGATTCCCGCGCTCTTCCTCGTCCCCATGATATGTATGCGCGCGCCAGAGGCCGCCGATCTTCGAGCGACTCTTTCCAGATATCTCCGGGGATCCCCGAAATCCCCGCCGAGGATCGTCGAGCGAGGGTCCACCCTCTTTGCCAACTCCGTCGGTAACCGGCAACACTGTCTCTCACACCGTCGCACCGCACTTTGATCCCTCACAGCGTTCTCGGACGGGCCCTCCCTCCCCTCCCCCTCCCTTCAGCGACAATTTAGCGTCTTTCCGACGACGATCGACACAGAGAAAGAGAGAGAGAGAGAGAGAGAGAGAGAAAGAGAGAGGACACCGTCAGTCATGGGTACCACACTGTATCCGTCTCGGAAGGATTTCACAAGAGCGCGCGCGGCTCTCTTCCGACTCCGCACAGGTGTTGCGTCTCAGCGAGCGAAGAAGAAGCGCGCGAGAAAGTACAGGCGTCGACGACTCGGGGGGCGGCGGCCTCAGTGGCGCGCGCGAGAGCCGCCGTCGCCATCCGCGTCGCTCGTCGAACGAAGTGCGCAGGTCGCGCGCGCGTTCAGTCACTCTGGCCGGTCTCACCGGCCCCCTCCCCCCCGCCGTCGCCGATCGGGCCCCTCAGTAGGGCCAGAAGGTGGGCAACGGTGGCGGCGGCGGCGGCGGTACGGTCGGGTAGAGGGTCGGGGTGGCTATCAGGAGGCAGGTGGGTGGCGGCAGGGGTGGCGGTACGGGTGGCGGTAGGACCGGGGATAGCGTTATCGCTGCGGCTGCGGGGTGCAGGGCCGTGCCCGTCGGGGCACACAACGGGTGCAGGGCGAGAGAGGGGCGCTGGCGCTGACGCTGACGCTGCTGGCCCTGGACCTCGCCGTTCTATTCTGCGTCCTGCTGCATTTTGACGTGGCCATTACCGGCGGAATTGCTCGACGCGCTACCGCTGCTGGGCGGGAAGCTCGTGGGTATGGTGCGCGACGACGAGAAGCAGAGTTTCATGATGTAGGGGAACTTGCCGTCTGAAACAGGGGACGCGCGGACCGCGCCGTGTTTGTTATCCGGGGGGGAGCGGTAACTGCGCGAGACTGTCTAAAGCGTAGTCCACAATGGGCGGTAGAAGCGTGTTCGTGAGAAGTAAGATTAAGAAACTGACCGATCGTATTCGAGTGTGAGGGGAATAATCGACTGTGATTGGTTAATTTCTTACTCTCATGCGTAGTTCACAGTGAACGGTAGGAGCGTGAGAAGTGAGAAGTGAGAAGTGAGAATAAGAAATTGGCCGATCGTATTCGAGTGTGAGGGGAATAATCGACTGTGATTGGTTAATTTCTTACTCTCAAGCGTAGTTCACAATGGACAGTGGGAGTAAACATATTTTTACTGCTCCCAACTGTAGACCACGTTTAACGACGGCTCGCCGAGTTGTGATTAACGTTTGTGCCAAGTTTGCGTCGGCCGGCTGATTACTACTACTACTACTACTACGCGTCCGTGCTTGCGACCAGCGCTTGCGACGCGCTAGTTTTATTCCTCGGTAGTGCGGAGTGCTTATCGTATCACAGGAAGGGGGTGGACGAGAACCATCGCGGTTCTACCGGGATTGTGAGAGGAATTGTCATTGAAAAGAAAAGGAAACGCAGCTTCTCCTTGACTCTTCTCCTCTCAATGAACGGGACTATCGCGCTCTCGAGAGTCTCGGGAAAGACGCTTAAACGAGGATACATCGAGGGGGAGAATCGTGAAAGCGGGGCCGTGGGGGAAGTGAAGTCCAAGTCCGAGTCGGATGAATAAGCGATAAAGTCGCGCCGGTCGACCGTTCGGGATATAACGAGTTATAACTTGCCATTCTCGAGAGGAGACGCGAGGAGCGGCGCGTTTTACAGTCTACGCACGCGCGCGATAGATGTATGTCACACACCGTATCCTGATACTCACTGCTATTCTCGAGTGCCGTGTGGTTACATTCCATAATAGCAGCTACCGCAACCCCGACGCTGCTGAACTCGATCAGCCCGGACGACGATCTCTCGGACTTGAGCGGAAACAGCTTCACCGTCGTCGGCGACTCGATGCCGCGCTCCACGAACACGCGATTCACCGTCTCCTCGGTCAGATCCGGCGGTGTATTGAAGAAGTGGACTATCTTCGAAGGTGGCTGTATTCTGTTTTTGTTTGCCATAGCCGGATTCAAGAATCTGTAACGATAAAACGAACGGAACTCCGACGTAGGCTTTCGAATTCTCCGTCGTCGCTGAAAAAATTCGTAGTAATTATTGTTACAATATTCTTTTCTCCGTGTGTGAGAGAGCTGGTAAAACGCGAGTAAAGGGTAACGTTTGTGACTCTTTCCCCTTCAATATTTCGCACTTTGTCACGCCGAATGCCCTGCGGGCGTGCATATTTGTTTCTCTTTTATCAAGCCGTCACAGATATCTACGGGTATCGCTCGGACGGCTGAATGGAAAATTATCGGTCGCGAAATTACAGGCTGCGTTTGCTCGCCCCCTTCGCTAACATTCAGTTTCGCTGATACTCGCGGTTACTTCTTGAAATGTACGCTCGTCCGCATGAAACGACTTTGATTTACGATAAAAGGACTGCTGCCTTATGAAATAGCATTTCCGTGTTCTATTAATGACGAGGAAATTGAAAAACCAAAGAAACACGATTAATTATAATTAATGTGTAAACTAATATGAATGTTGATATTAATAATTGATATAAAACATCTTTTTATGTAATTATTATCGTGCACGGAGAAAATACTGTAGCTGTATTGTATGTACACGTCATTGAAGAATACAACGCGCGTAATAATTTCGGCAAGAATTCCGGCATATTCCAGCATTTCGTAGTAATTATTGTTACAATATTCTTTTCTCCGTGTGTGAGAGAGCTGGTAAAACGCGAGTAAAGGGTAACATTTGTGACTCTTTCCCCTTCAATATTTCGCACTTTGTCACGCCGAATGCCCTGCGGGCGTGCATATTTGTTTCTCTTTTATCAAGCCGTCACAGATATCTACGGGTATCGCTCGGACGGCTGAATGGAAAATTATCGGTCAGTTATTAAAGGACGCGGGGCATTTTCATTGTCTCGGGACACACAAAGGGGCGAAATCGAAAAGGAAGCGTCACAGAATATCGTAACGTTGCTTTACCGTCCTTTCTCGTCGCGGCTTGACGAAGCCTCAGGGGGAATCTATTCGTTGTCAGCGGGGGATTTCTTTCTTTCGCGTACACAATACGTCGGCATTTCATATATTCTCAATAAAAATGTCAGCTTTATATTCGAGTCCCTCAATTACGCGGGCGAAAGCGGATTTCCGCTACGAGGAGCGCCGGTACGTTCCTGGCGCACACAGTTTGTCTTTCACGAGCTTTGGGGGGGGGGGGNGGGGACTTCTCGTGATTAACTTCTCGCAATCAGAACTCGCTGGTGCCCAAGGCGCCGTCTCCCTGCGGGCGATTAAGTTTTTCGTCCGGAGCAATACGCTCGTTTCGCCGCCGTAGGGGCGCTTTTTCACCCTCTGAAGACACGTATTCACGTATCGGCGTATTTCTCCGCTTCGTTAAATTATTCGTCTTACTGAATTATTCGGTTTAATGTCACGGTTCCCGAACGAAACGTAGCTCGAGCCGAAATGTAAATTGCCGGCGATGCCTAAAAGTCGAAGCTTTTCTCCTTGTATCTAAAAGATACGGCGGATATTATAATGTACACAATATTATGATATTACAACTTTTCCTTTTAATCAATATGTGAAAGAAGCGGAACAACCCGGCCTCCCCTGTATTAAGTCCGAGGAAACCTTTTCTCCTCCTGTGAGATATCAAACTTAATCGCTGCGCCGGACATCATCAGAGATACACTCTTTGAGTGTCCACGGAACAATCGGAGCGGAGTCCTCGCTCGAAATCATGTCGCGTTGTCGTTAGCTCCTATTCAACTCTGGGATTTGATTCTTCCGCTCGAACGCGCTCGAGCCATCCGAACGAGCCGGGAGGGAACGGGGATTCCCGGCTTAACGGCGAGCGGCGGAATTTAAATCGCGCTCGTTTACGTGTCTTCATTTAATTAGACTCGAGTTTAATCTCGCGGAGTGCCGTCGCAGTCTGCCGGCACTCGCGCCCGCCGGACACGCCCCGCGCGCGTCGTATTACCTCGTAAGATTCGCGTGAAAGATGATGACGATGGAAGGGGGGAGGAGAGGTCGATGGGGAAAGGATCACGTAATCAAAAACCCCCTCGAGCTCTTACGTACTTCGTAAGATCAACGGCTCGTGCCCGGCAGAGGGCCGGATGAGTCGATTTATTATCGGGTATCCCCATCGATGCACTGAGAGAAAAATATATTAGGGCTACCCCATAAGTAACGTCGCTTTTCGATACTTATGCTACATTTTGTTCTATTTAATGCGTAATTTTATTTTATTTTATTTATTTTAGTCCCTTCAAAATTTCAATAAGCACACCAAGCGTCGATAAATTTAATTGGTATAACAGGTGACGTAATAATAAATCATGTCCAAGGTGGCGATGTTTTTTTGTTCAATTTGAGAAACAAAACGGCATTACTCGTGGATGCCCGTAATAATTATTTTCGGGGCTAACAATATCTTTTTTCCGTTTTAACCACAAAAACGGTTGAGAAAACTATATTTTTCCAGTAAGCGTTACTATAATACCAGTGATAATAACCTTGGCACGTTGCTACTACCATTTTTACGGTTAAAATAAAAAGAAAGATATCGTTGTCCCCGAAAATAACTATATTTTACTCTCAGCGTGTGTATTCGACGTGTGATTCTACGAGAGAATGAAAATGCCGTCCCGGTACATTTTTCTCCTCTTGTCACCGTAACGTTTCACGAAGAGGGTGAGAGTTCGCTATCTAAAGCCAGCGTGAAAAATTATTTATTTCCCAACTACGACTCTGATCTCGCACTTGGTGTATATCTCGGTTGATATATCGGTTTCGAACTGCTGCGAACAGAGCTACTAAAACCGTAGGCATCACGAACGAACTACGGCCGGTGAGCCCGCCGGTGAGTCTCCGACATAAAACACTTGCTCGTTCGCAATGATAGAATTATTTTGTCCGATCTTCTGCGCGATATATTCGCGTCTCGAAGCCGTAATAGATTACGTCACGCGCGACGGATTAATCACGCACGAGTTCGCGGCTGGAGAGACGGTTAGAAACGTGCGATTAAACGGCGAGGAGAGCTGTCCGCGAGGAGACTCACTTAAAGGGCGAGCGTGGCTGATATATACGGTGTATCTCGGTTATATATGTACGCACATATGTACAGTAAGAGAAAAATAAAGTGGGACCGAGGAAGACGGTGGAAGATCAAGCGGAGACAAATGATCCCCGATGGAAAAAGGGGGAGCCTCGGGCGAAAAATGAAGGGGGAGTGTCGAGAGACGCGCGACAATACTCACCTGTTATTCTTGCTGCCCGTGAAGTCCTTGAAGCTCGCTGTCTTGTCGGGTAGAATGTAAGGATTGGTGACGTCCGAGAGGAAGGCCTGTTTCGAGAAGGCGAGCTGCAGCCTGCCGTCCGTCCCGATCGTGACGTTGTTCAGGTTTTGTAAACACCGCTCAACGGCTATACTGTCGCCCATTTGAATCATGGCACATCCCTCCTTCGTCTTCAAGAACTTAACCTGCGACACACAGATGGGAGATTCGTGCGCGCACGGTTTAGCACGCAAGCTGAAATTTCGCGAGCGAAATGCGTGAATCGATACGACGCGCTTCCGGCCCGGTACGAGATAACCCCTAATTCTCCGAGGGCGAATTCATCGCGTTTGTCTGGATATCCGCAACAGATGTGGCGAAGCCTTCAGCCATTCGCTCCGAGCGGTGAATTGTGAACGTAATTTCTACCAAAAACTGTTTCCGTTTTCTGCCAGATATCGCAATTCGCAAGTTTCAAGAAGATACGAAGTCGATGGTGAATTCGATAAGTATTGATAACACGGAAGCGGTCTTCGAAATGTTACATAAACGTGTTATATAAACATCGCGCTATTTTTTCTTGTATTTCTTGTACACACACACACACACACACACACACACACACACACACACACACACACACACACACACACACACACACACACACACACACACACACACACACACACACACACACACACACACACACACACACACACACACACACACACACACACACACACACACACACACACACACACACACACACACACACACACACACACACACACACACACACACACACACACACACACACACACACACACACACACACACACACACACACACACACACACACACACACACACACACACACACACACACACACACACACACACACACACACACACACACACACACACACACACACACACACACACACACACACACACACACACACACACACACACACACACACACACACACACACACACACACACACACACACACACACACACACACACACACACACACACACACACACACACACACACACACACACACACACACACACACACACACACACACACACACACACACACACACACACACACACACACACACACACACACACACACACACACAGGTTTTACGTAAGCGTAAGGTGAGATATCGATGTGAACGCGATGAGTGTGCGCTATTCTGTTTTATTGTATTCAAGAGAAAATCTAACCAGGATGTACAAAGATTTTCCTGCAAACTTTTCGTATCTTTTTAGGCTTCTAAATCAGACGGAAAAGATGTAAAAATGTTTCCTGACATTTTCCCGATCGGAAGATTGACAAATTCGGCACGTGCATGCTGCAAAATTTCTGTATCGGGTAAATATTCACAATTGGAAAATGTCAATTTCGAAACTTTTAGTCGTCACAGATTGAGCAATGCTCCAATTCATTTCGGCACGTATTTCCACTGTAAATATATTGTAAAAGCTTTTACATATAATTCCGCGCAACCGATAAGACTTGGCAGAAAGAAAATCGGTATTTCATCGGCCAAGTTTCCAAGCATTCTCTCAAACGTCATCGTAACTTTTGGAATCGTCTATTTGCCCGAAATTACGTTTTTTATTGATTAAGAGCAACAAGTTACAGGCCGCATCTGTTGTAGATCCGGTCAAAAAAAAAAACCAGCGAAAAACGAGAGAGAGAGAGAGAGAGAGAGAGAGAGAGAGAGAGAGAGAGAGAGAGAGAGAGGGAGGGAGAGATTCAGAAGTCGGGAGTAATTAAATAACTGCGACTCTCTATCTATATATACATACCGTGTTTTCATTTCGGACAAACTCAAACGGTGCGCACCGCTCGATGTGAAAAACCGCGCTACCTCATTATATTACATAATACATTCGGCGGACAACGCGCGTGATTCGTACAAACGGCGCGGGATCTCTCGTGAAAATTATTAAATGCTGAGGCGTAAATCCGCTTCTGTTGATCCACGTTAAACGCGTGATACCGGGGACGTGCGAAATTCCAGATGCTCGTTTGCTCCACGTTTAAAGGCGAGCAACGGCGTCCACGCGCAACGCGAAGCGGATACACGCGGAGGGTTCGGGCCGGTAACGAGGATGCGCGACGGGAGAGAGAAAGATCACCACTCACCTTCGTCACGTTGCCATACAGGCAGAATAGGTTGAAGAGCTTGTCGGTGTTGACTTTGTCCGGCTGCAGGCCGTATACCATCATGACGGAGCCCTGCGTGCTGGAAGGCTGCGTCTGGCCCAGAGGCGGCACGTAACCCGGCCGTGGTGGGGTGGGATGTAGCGGCTCCCGGCCGCTGAAATCGCTCTTGATGCCGTAACGCTCGACGTACGGCTCCGCGTACGTCGCCGGCCCGTTGAAGTTCTCCTCGTAACGGTCATGTCCGGCGCCAGGCGGGAAGGTCACCTGTGGCGTGGAACCTGAAACACACATGCCGCGAGACGGGTTAGATAAATGATGATGCGAGAGAAAGAGAGAGAGAGAGAGTGAGAGAGGGGGGAGTGAAAGGGGAAGAGAGACACGTAAACCCGGACATTGTTCGTCGCGAAGGGGTTCGACGATAGCTTCACAATGCGCAACCTTGCTCGGAGATTGCCGGGAGAAGTAATGTTACTTAAGTATTATTATTATTGTTATTATTATTATTGTTATTGCCGAAGCTTTTCACCTCGGCACTTCCTTTCGGACTTCGGATGTATTGCAAAGTAGTTAAAAAATAGCATACGTGTATTATCATTATTCTATGTATTATTATATATATTGTTATTCTTTCACTCTGGCACGCTTAGGGAGCGAGGCGACACGTCGAAGGAAATCCGGCGAGATTTCCTGGGAGAAGGAAAACGCAAGGTGTACACGGAGAAAAAAGACTGGTTAACGGTGATAATGAACGAGACTGGATGCGTTTTCGCTGAAGGAGACAGAATTTCCAGTTCCTGTCAAGTAAATTCGGCTCTCCGGGACCAGAAATTCCGTTTTCCCCTTTGAACAGAAATGCATCCGGTTTGTTCATACGTTTTATTATCACGTTTCCATATATTTCCTCGTCAGTCTCCGCTTCACACATACACATATATCAATAAATAACGCATATTCAGTTCTCGATTACACGGGGCACTAGTTATGGTTTCGCCAGTTTCCACTTCAATTACGTTCGATCGAGGATCCACGAGCCTCCACCTCCTTTACTTCCCTCCCCTAATGTGCTAATAGAATCGGACGAGTTTGCGAGGCGCCTTTAATTCGTGCGAGCGTTGACCGTCGTCGCGCGTCACGGTTCATTAGAGAAACGGTTCTCGTGCATGCTCGAGGCCAATCTGAAGCGTGTAAAAGTGGGACAGCACACGGGAGCTGAGAAAAATACCGAAGATAGAATCGTAACGGAGTTACGAGGGAGCGAGCGCAAGTGGCACGCACCGGCTGGCTGGTAATTCGACTCGACGGCTCTCTCTCTCTCTCTCTATCGGAATGGTAATGCAATGCTTTGTCGGCCGCGTCCGCGTATTAAATGTTGCGACAAATGGTAATCGATTAGAATGTCGGGGGAGGGGGGGCTATTGGGGAAAGGCGAGCGGGCAAAGTGAGTTACGATAATGTTTTCAACTATCGGATTACACAGCGCAACCGGCTCTCGAGTAGCTTCGATTGCAGCCGCGCGCGCGCTTTGTTACACGCTCTCAGCTCATCGATTTCCCGTCAAAATCCGCAATAGGATCCCGCGTTCGCAGTGACTTACGGCGGCAGTTTTAGACAGTTCTATATATATATATATATACCTCGGGAATTATTTTCCCGGGGTCAATATTAGAGGGGCTCAAACAGTTCGAAAACTGTTGGCGATACGCAGTACCTAAAAGGCCGAAGCTCGGCTGGCTGGTGGCAACAGCTCGGTGCGCAAACGTCGGATGCAACAGCGTCACACGTTACATCGGTTACGCGACAATTTCACGATTTGGCGTTATCAAATCAATTCGCGGGATATTCGAATTGTCTTTTCCGCGCGATGCGAATCTTCGAGCGTAATTTCTGCGCGCCCGATGACGCTGAAGAATCGACGGAGACGCTTGCCACGTGAGGAGAACCAAAGACAGAATTTCCCTTTGCGCGGGGAACATCGCGTTACGCAATCCTCTCCCTCCACCCCCAATCCCCCACCCCTCCCACCAAGACCCCCAATCGAGATACGTGGACTCTGCGAGAAAATGAGACAGCTCTAATTTTATCGCCGTTCCACCCATTATCATAATTAAAGCCTTCAGAATTTGTACACGCTATTACGTTGCGAGTGCACACTATTTGCGCTGCGAATAAAATTGCACTTGTATAATATTCCTGCGGGAGAAACGGCTACCTCTCTGTGTTTGCGCTTTCTCTCTCTCTCTCGCATTAATATTTAAACGTTTAATGAAAATAACAAGTCGCGCGGGTGCGCGCCTCCCTACGAAATGAGAGTGTCTTGATAAGATACTTTTCTAATTTGAAGAGCTCATAAGGGAGAAAGAGAGAGGGAGGAGGAGGGGGGGGGGGAGAGAGAGAGATATGGAGGAAATGAGAAATGCTTTTTCTTCGCATAGAAATATCTGAATTTATTCAACGCGGTATTTCATGAATGGTGGTCCGTCCAATGAATCTTTTTGAAGATAAAAGGTCCTCTCTCTCTCTCTCTCTCTCTCTCTCTTTCGCGCACTTTCGCAGACGCGCGAAAGTAAATTTTCCTCTTCGTACGGTGCAAACTAATGCCCACGGCGTACTTCAACTTCCGCCCGGAACGTCGGCCGCACTTCGCACTTCGCCGGTCCTTCATTAATCCCGCTCTCATTTTTTTACACGTATTCACGGAAAACCTGCGATCGCGCCGGTCGGTCGAGCCATCTATTTTCCGAACCGGTGAGCTTAATTTGGCCATTACGTGCCGGCGGACGGACGGACGGGCGGGCGGACAGACGGTCGGACGGACGAACAGACGCTGAAAAGAGGCAGACAAACAGACAGAGAGGCGGACAGACACTCACCGTATGGCTGGGGCGCGGCGCCGTATCTTGGTTCCGCCAAAAGGGGAGCCGGCCTTCCATTTCCCGTCGCGTCGGTTTTGTGTGTGTTCGAGCCTGCAACAGAACGAGCGAGTTCTTCGATGAGACTCTATAATCACCATCGATGGCTACACCGTCTCGTCCCGCCAGCACGACAAAACAAGAGACAAAACGACGCGAGCCCAAGCACCGTCTCATTCATCTCGCGAAATTTCCGACGAACGTGTGAGAACGACGGGGAAGTTTTCTGAAAAATGTGCGGGGGGTGGAACGCACTCTGGGCAGGAAACGCTTAAAAATGCATTCGCGGGATACGGGGTTCATTTCACACAAGTGAATCTTATTAAACTGAGAGATCGTTTCTGCGAAATGAACCTTGGTATCGCACGAGTAAATTTCCGAGCGCTTTTTTTTCCCATCGTAGCGCGAAACCCCAAACTTGACATATCAACACAATAACAATTTAATTACCGTCCCGTCCCGTGACGAACGAAAAACTCGCACGATTCCGGATCGCCGGGAAATCGAAGGGGGGCTGATGTAAACTTGCGTGTCCTCGAGATCGCGATGCCGAAGCACTCTGCGTTCTTTCGTACACTGAAAAAAGGATCTGATAATAAGTATTAAAATCTGATGAATATCGGCCGACCAAATATTTAATTAATGCAATACGAATAATCTCGTTCCGGATACTGTATACATACACGGTACTCCCGTACATTATATATTTGGTACGTGGAACAAAATTATTCACTCGCAGGTAATCAAATGTTCGGTCGGCAGGTGTTCACCAAATTTTTGATATTCACTACCAGATTCGTTTTTTCAGTGTACAAGTCAACACGACGCTTACCATTTCTCAGATCAAAAATTACACGTTTCTCTCACGCACAAAGTTGCGAGAATCGCGTAATTCCTGACGGTAAGGCATGCGCGACGCAATGTGCGCATGGTCGGTCGCAGAAGAAGGCTGCGACATACTTTTTCCCCCGAGGAGTTTCGCAACGCGTCTCGCATCCAACGAGGAAAAATGTATCCCTCTGTGCGTTCTTACGGAGAAACAAATCTCCCGTCGGATGCGCGGGATGCGTCTCGAAATTGATCAGAAGGAAAGATCGCCGCGACTCTTTCGTCCGACTGACCATGCGAGAGCGAGCCGCAAGATTTCCCTCGCGTCGAGGAGTTTACGCGGAATCCAGGATAATGGCCGCGCTCCCGAGCCGACGTAACGGACTCCGATCGAGTTCCTAACGAGCGTTCGATCCGGCCAGGCCAGCATCCTCCTCCGATCGGGGAAAGATGGCGGAATATAGTAACAACATCCTGCATAATCCGCGCGTCTGCTTCCTTGCGCGCCGCGCCCCGCGCTGTTGGTCTGTATTAAACCGCGGCACACCTACGCTCGCCCGCACACATACACAAGTACGCCCACACACACACTCACGCGGGGATGCACGCGGCGGCTGTTTCCTCGAGATGAGCGTGCTCCGCGCCAACGGTTTCGGTATACTCGCCTCCTCCTCCACGTGCGCCAACCCACTTACCGCGCTGCCGCATCGTCATCGGTGTACGTGTGTGTCTGTGTGTGTGTGTGTGCACACACACGGATATCTCGGGCTTGTTGCTGCAGCCCACCTCTCTCTCTCTCGGCGTGTGTGTGTGTATATCGCCGCTCCCTCCC